TTAGGACACTTAACCCTGAAACACCCTGTAGATTATAAAATCACGCGAGAAAACACAAATACGAAATAATAAAGGAGTAAGAGCCAAGACAGAAAGTTAGTGTTTAAGGCCCGGCTTTTCGTTTTCTGGTTAATTGTTCACCAGAGAGTTAGTCGATTCTCTGTCTCTTCTCAGATAACAACATAGAAACAGATGAAGAGCCGACTAACCTCTGGTTAACAGTTAACCAGAAAATGAAAAGTCGGGCATACATAATTTTAGTTTTAAGTCTACTGCACAAAATAGTATAATAAATCACGTGAGAAAGTTGTACACCACAAACTTAATAATTTATGCACGATAAAGGAAAACTTTGTATTCGCGAGCGATAAGAACTACAAGTAACGCAAAAAAAAGGGAACGGTAAAAATCAAGTTTCGAGCCGAAGCAGCGGAAAATTTGAAAAGACGTCTCCTTGAAGTTTCACCTTCGGAAAGACGGATACTCATTGGAAATTCATCTCGTCGGTGCAACTTTCTTACGTATAGATTATAAAATCACGCGAGAAAACACAAATACGAAATAATAAAGGAGTAAGAGCCAACGGCTTTTCGTTTTCTGGTTAATTGTTCACCAGAGAGTTAGTCGATTCTCTGTCTCTTCTCAGACAACAACGTAGAAAAAGATGAAGAGCCGACTCTGGTTAACAGTTAACCAGAAAATGAAAAGCCGGGCATACATAATTTTAGTTTCAAGTCTACTGCGAAAAATAGTAAAATAAATCAGGTGAGAAAGTTGTACCGCAATCTTAATATTTTATGCACCATAAAAGAACACTTGGTACTCGCGAGCGATAAGAGTTTACTCTCGTGGGAACTTGTTTTATTATACAGTGGCAAAGTGACGCAACTTTTCGGGACGATTATAGTTACGAAGAATACGAGAGGCTTACGTGTACGAAACGATCGGCGAATGACATCATCGACCACCATCTTGCCCGATGAGAAACGTTTACTCGAATGTTTGCCGCGCCGCCAGATGCTCGTCACGCCGTGTATATTTAACGAGTAGAGAGAGTATCGCGAATGCCACGCGATTATCGACTTTAAGACCCGCCAATTTCCCCGGCGCATCCTTAATCACGCGATCGGAC